TTCTTTGTTGAGTGGCTCTCATAAGATATTCTGCAATGACATCCCATTTGTGTGAAGAAAAGATTGAGTGAGCAGTCAGACTGGCTTTGGACAGAATATCCCTAACTTCAGCCAGCTGGCGGAGATCTAATTAGGCAAGCGTTCCATTATCATTCTGTTATGATAAACTTTCCAGTCTCCATTTTTAACACTGAGAAAAGGATCCAAGGCCAGCCTAAATCTCTTTGATATCACAGGGAAAAGAATTTAGAAGATTCTAATCTAACTCCTAGTGACTTAACACATGCACCACCTAAAGCAGACAGCTGGCCAGTGGAGAGCATGGCAGACAGGGTGTGCTCATCAGACCACCGAGTGCTGGAGAAGAAAAGAGGATGACGGGTCTGTACAGCAGAGAGCTGCAAAGGCAAAAGAACACTTACCTGGCTGAGGGCCTAGGCAGGAGGTGACCTAACATAACTGCAATCACCCCACCAACAGCCTCCTACCCACAAACATGGTCCAAACTACTAAAGGAGTACATCAACCTCAAGAAGAAAGGGAGGATTACCAGATTCTAAAGAAAGGAATCTAAAGAGTGCTGTGTGCCTTATAATTTCAGATTATGACATTTCTTCCAATTTAAAATAAATTGGGGGCCACCTGGGTGGCTCAGTAGGTTGAGCGTCTGACTTAGGTTCGGGTCATGATCTCATGGTTCATGGGTTTGAGCCCCGCATCAGGCTCTGTGCTGACAGCTAGCTCAGAGCCTGGAGCCTGCTTCTAATTCTGTGTCTCCTTCTCTCTCTGATCCTCCCCTGCTCACACTGTCTCTCTCTCTCTCAGAAATAAATTAAAAATATTAAAAAAAATAAATTGGTATAGGTGGGACCCACAATTTTGGACTGCTCTAATACTCTTTAGAAGTACAAGGGTCTACGGGTGCCTGGGTGGCTCAGTGGGTTAAGCATCCAACTTGGGCTCAGCTCACCGTCTCACAGTTCATGGATTCGAGCCCCGTATGGCACTCTGTGCTGACAGCTCGGAGCCTGGAGCCTGCTTCTGATCCTATGTCTCCCTCTCTCTCTCTCTGCCTCTCCCATCTCACTCTGTCTGTCTGTCTCTCTCGAAAATAAACATTAAAGGGGTGCCTGGGTGGCTCAGTCGGTTAGGCGTCTGACTTTGGCTCAGGTCATGATCTCACGGTTCATGGGATTGAGCACCACGTCTGGCTCTGTGCTGACAGCTGGCTCAGAGCCTGGAGCCTACTTCGGATTCTGTGTCTCCCTCTCTCTCTGACCCTCCCCTGCTCAAGCTGTCTCTATCTCTCTCCCTCTCAAAAAGAAATTTAAAAAAAAAAAAAAACATTAAAAAATAAATATTTTTAAAAAAGAAGAAAAAGTATGAGAGTTTTAGGACGCCTGGATGGCTCAGTTTGGTAAGCCTCCAACTCTTGGTTTCAGCTCTGGTCATGATCCTAGGGTTGTGGTATTGAGCCCTGTGTTGGGCTCCATACTTAGCATGGAGCCTGCTTATGGTATTCTTTCTCTCTCTCTCTCTCTCTCTCTCTCTCTCTCTTTCTCCCCCTCGCCCTTCTCCCCTGCTCATACTCTCTCTAAAATTAAAAAATGTTTTAAATTGAAAAAAAAAAGTATGGGAGTCTTATAAAGAAAACCTAAGTCTGTGCAAGTAAAGAAAGATCACAAGCATATCAAAAATGTCTTGTGGCTGTGTCATTTGTTTCCTTCTTTCAATCATCTGAATTGAACACATCCTCTGTACCAGGCAGAGCAGGGCACACAGGGAATACTGAGGTCCATTATCACATGTTCCTTTCCCTCTAAGAGCTATTTGGCAACACAGACAACACCAAATACCACGGTTCAGACTATGAAGAAAGCATTCACATACTATAGCATGAGCTCACCAAAGGCCCACTTAAACTAGCCCGAGGGGTCAAGGACATCTTCAGGGAAGAAGTGATAGCTGAAATGAGGCTTAGAGAATGAAGAAATGAGCTGTATAGAAAACAGAAGGAGAACTCCAGGTAACTGCAAAGGCACATGAGAGCACTGGCAAACCAGCGGCAATGCAAGGGATTCCATATGGCTGAAGCACAGAGATTCGAAAGAAGGAAGTGGGCTGAGAAGGCAGGCAGAGGATGGATCGTGAAGGGCCCTGTCTATTAGAACACTACGGTGTCTGAAATTTAAATCTAAGGTAACTGAGGAGCCACTGAAAAAATTTAAACCAGCAAGTGACATAATCAGATCCAATTTACAGAAAATCTTTTCACCTAGCCGTAGTAGAGACATAGGGCTGGAAAGGGGTAAGGTCAAAGGCCAGTCCAGAGGCTGCTGGGTAATTCAAATAAGAAAATATGAGGCTCAACGGAGGTGGCAGCAATGGGAATGGTAAAGAGTAGTCAGATCCAAGGGACATCTAAGAGGTAAAAATTAACATACCTTTGATCACCTGGCTACAATGATGTGCTGGTAAAAGTTTAACAGCTGCCTTAAAAAAATGCCCTGCTTTGTAGCATTTGCCAATTTCTATGGTGTAAAAACTCCCACTGCAGCTATTTTCAAACTTCCAAGATGGCGTCACTGAACTTGGAACTGGGAAGCCATGTGCACAACCGGCTCCTGCAAGTCAGGGTGAGTCCACTCCAGCACTACTGCTAGCAAGTGAGACGTGGGAAGAAGGGGGAGTCTAGGAAAATTCAAGGCCTCCCTGGCTTGGGGACCTGAGTAGAATACAAAATGCAGGGTGTTAACTAAGTTCTGATTGGGACATACTGAATTAGAGGCAGATACAAAGATAACCAGCAGGCAGATGGACACAAGGGATTTGAACACAGTAGAGAAAAATCTGGCTAAACATTATAGTTGAAATGGATACCACAAGGAACTATGCACAAACCCAGAAGACAAGAGGGTATAATAAAGCACAGAAACCTAGAAAATACCAACATTAAAGGGATGAATGGACAAGATGCCTGAGAAGGACCTTAAAGAAAGGGAGGGTTTCTCAGGACCAATTTCCCAAAATAGTTCTCTAACTGAAAATCAATTCACCAAAAAATTAACTTACTAAAGTTACCAAATTTACCTATATTTAAAACCTATTTCTTTCAATTATTTATAAGGCAATTGTTTGTTAGAGGGACTTGTTTTCAACAAATTGGCCTTTTATATTTAAAAAGGAGGAGTTTTAAGGAGAAAGGCAGCAAATGCCATACAAAAGATCAAAAGAGCTAACAGAAGCTACAATGTCCCCAAGCAACCTTCCAACACACACTCCACAGAACAGCATTGGTGGGAAGATCCCAGTGGAAAAGAGAATGCTGAGAGAAGCAGAGATGGTACAGAAGCTTTCACTCAACTGAGAAGTAGAGAGGAAAACTTCAGGGAGAGGCTATTGATTATTTTTCCTTTTCTTGTGTTTCCTGTGTGACTCAAGTAGGTTTACATGTTGAATGGAAAGATCCACCATTTAAGGAGAAATTGAAGGATTAAACAGAAGGGTCAGAGTAACCAATACCCTGATGTTCCAGAAGAGGCAGGGGCAATGAGACCTACAGTTAAGGTGAAGAGGGAAGATACACTTCCCCCCAACTCCTTTCTGAGCAATCCTTTTGTTACGTCAGAAAACCTCATTTCATTTTACCATGACAATCCAGGTATATGTCATCTATTTGGAGGCTCTTTTGCAATTCCATCTGAATCTAGTTAGAAAATATTTTGAATGATGTTGGTCTATACTCTGAAGTCACAAGAAACAGGAACCAAACCTGAAAGTATGCCAACCTTGCATCATTGAGTGCAAAAAAATTGTATTAGATTCTCATTGTCCCAAACATTGTCCCAAACAATCTGCCCCAAACAGATTGTTCCCACTGTCACTTTTCTTCCCCTGTAATATCCTACCACCCAATGGCTTCCCACTTTACCAGGCCAAGAGAAAAATGTTCAGCTTTGTTTTTACCCAATATAGTCAAAACTTATTTCAGAGGTATTTGATACCCGGAATGATTATTCTTACACTTTGAAACACTGATTGTTTTGTAAATACATTTTTCTTTCAGATCAAGTCAGTGGCCCCCTTAAGTAAAGATCACCAATATTACTTCAGCATTATGCCATGTCAAAATTGTCATCTAACCATTATGGAAAAGTTATTAGTTCTTATAAGTGAAGTCTCTGTCTTACATATGTTTGATTATTTTCTAGTCAATTTCGGATTTTCTCTAAGTTCGAGCTTAGCTTAGTGATTTACAGATTGAATCACATAGGACTCTAACATTGTAATGTAACATCCTGGTCACTACATTGTCATTTAACAAATTTCTCCTGCTCTTCTTTTACAGGAAACCAACTGAGAAGATTCATGTTCACTATACTGTATAACTTTTATCTGTCCTTTATAGCCAAGAGCCAGGGAACAGTGAGATAAGTTAGGGGCTGAAAAAGAGAGAAAAATTCCTAATAGAAATTCCACAAATACCTGGGACAAACAACAAAGATCTCAGAATAAGCTGATTAGTAGATGTTTAGCAAAAAGAACACACCTACCTTTAGTATACAGGTTCAATTCAGCTCTCAAATGGCACAACAGAGATATTAGTGCTTATATTTAAGAATTATATTTTGCTTTCTTTAGCAAACTAAAGAAACTAAAACAAATACTTCCCATCTTTAGAGTTTTATGCAAATATCAATTCTTAAAGGAAAATGTCTGACTCGAGTATAAAAGCTGCTTCTAAAGAGTTGTAGACAGAAATAATCCAGCAGAATGGCAAAATGAGGATAGTTGCTTCAAATAGGAAATTCTAAAAATATAACTTACTACAAAAGAAAGAAGCCCTAAGAGAACACCATCAAACAATACACTTTGGGATTACTAAAGGGGATTCTATTTTTATCCTGAAAATCACATCTAGTGGAAAATCAAGACTTAGGTTACCAACATGAGCCTTTTTTCTTTTTTTTCCAAGAAACACAAATAAATTAGTAACCTACCGTCTGTCTGAGATTTACTGAGGAATATTGTGCTGGCCCGAGGATGGTCTGACGGATTGAATTCCATGTTCAAATCTTTAAAGAAAGAAAAAGAAAATACGTCAAAATTCATTTGATAACTAAGGGGAGTCAAGATTAATTTTCAGGGTTTTTTTTTAACCTTAAATTGCTAATATGTTCAAGAATGTATTTTAAAAAAACCCTCCAGTTATTGTGTTAATAGATTCTTCTAGGTTCAACTGAGAACACTGCTATTTAGAAATTTGAGAAAGTCACACATAAAAATTAAACACTTGCTAGGAGATATGCTGGCCTAAAATCCATTTTCTTTTTAAAAGTTTGCTCTGTGTCCAGGATACTATAGACAGCAAGATCGTTATGCCACTGACGGAGAATTATGTGCTACAACGGACTCACCTAAAATCTGCAGTTATGTGAGTGGTATTTCCTTGTTGACTGAAATAGAATTATCTCAGCCAAATCAGCATCCACAAACTCTGCTTAATTAACAGGTATTTTCTAAAAGGGCAAAACTTATCCTTCAGAGTAGAGGCCACAGATTAACCATCTGTGGGCATAATCTGGGGCCATAGATATGTTTCGTTTGATCCATACATTTCTTTTTAATTTGGGCCAACATAAAATGATTTTTATATTTCAAACATACACCACAAAGAAAAAAAAATCTGTATTTCCAGCCTCTCTTGGGAAATCAGATCATTTGGCAACACTGGCTCCCACCCCAATGGTCACAATGGGCTAGGACACAGCAGCTGCTGGCTCCTCCAGGTGGGACCTAAGATTCCAGTCTCCAGTAGTCAACCTTCTCTGCAATCAGAGTGAAAACTATTTTGAGTTCAATTATTTCAATAAATTTGCAAAGAAAACTAATCAACACCAATAAAAATAGATGGTATCTATCCTTAGTTTTAATAGCTAATCAAGTCAAAAACAAAAAAAAAAAAATAAAGGACAGTCATATACACACGAAGCAACACCTACTAATCACTCATCCACAGAGACTCACCTCAGCAAACCTCTAAAGTGAGGCAATCTTCCCCACATCAGCCAATCGCTTACTGGACTATAGCTCCTGACCTCTCACTGGGTGCTTGATTAAAGAAACACAAATTGAATCTTAAATGCTATTTTAATTATCTGGTCCTTCTTCTGTGACAACCACTGAAATTATCAACATAGTGTAGTACTATCATTGCTAAATGCTATGGAAGGAGAAAGAATGGCAAAAAAGACAATTTCTCCTATTTGCCTCAGTTTGAACTAGATAAAATTAGGCCAGAAACCTCCTGGTAAAAATGAGTTTTTATGAGAGATTTCCTGCTCAAGTAGAATTTTGTTCTAGAAAGGTCAAATAACAAATGTGCTACTCAGAATTATTTTTTTTGAAGACTTCAGCATATGAAAACTGAGGGCATATACATAATTCCAACCATAATGGATGCTGTCAATTTCCAAAACCTTAATTTATAGTCCCCAGAGAAAAATATCATCTGAAAAACAATTTGCCTGTGGTGTTCCATGCTGGTGTGGAGCAGAAGCAAGCACCTGATTCCCCAGCTTTGGACGGTGCCAGCACTGCAACCTCTTGGTTTGTTCCCTTAGTACCCATTTCAGACTCATCTACCAGACTAGGTTTGTTTGTTTGTTTGGTTGGTTTTGTTTGCAGGGGTGTGGTGATGGGAAGACTCTCTAATGACAGATTTTTAATCTAGACATTTGAAAAATAGATACAGGCCATCCTATGCAGACCGGTTCTCTTTCAGACTCACTTCACCACAAGCAAAAAGTGTAAAGCTTTTCTGTTTTAAGCCAACAGTAGAGCCAAAATAATATATGACTGCCATTTCTTAGTGAATTGAGGGGCTGCTTTAAAATTCAAGAATGGGGGCACCTGGGTGGCTCAGTTGATTATACACTGTCATGAACCACATCTCGTTCAAGCCCCATGTCAAGCTCTGTATTGATACAGCAGGGTTCTGTGTCTCACCCTCTCTGCCCCTTCCCTGCTCAGACACACACACACTCTCTCTCTCTCTCTCAAAAATAAAAACATTAAAAAAAATTTTTTTTTAAATTCAGGAATGTCCTGGAAGACGATCCCTAGAGATCAGGATTCGATGCTATAATAATCACAAACCCTAGAAATTGCTAAGAAGGGAGACATTCACAGATTATGAGAGAGGGCTGCCAATGACAGGGCATTTGTTCTAGGAAGTAACAGTGTGCCCCAGATGACGGAATGCTATGCCACCATAAAAACTCATTATGGGGAGCACAGCATAATGTACAGAACTGTCAAATCACTATGTTGTACACTGGCAACTATATTTTCTAGGCCAACTATACTTCAATAAAAAAGAACATTTCATAATTTAAAAAAATGTGATGAATATTTCATTCATGTTGAAATAGCAATACCATATGTCATTAGGTGAAGAAAGCAGCAAGATATCATCTGGGTGGGGGTATATGCATTCGTGTAGAATACACATTAAAAGAATATACACTAATATTGGTTACCTTTGAATAATGTAATTAAGCCCTTTTTCTTTTTTTTTTTTTTAAATGTTTTTCTTTCTCCCTCCCCACCCCCGAGAGAAAGAGAGAGAGAGACAGCAGGAGCAGGGGAGGGTCAGAGAGAGAGGGAGACACAGAATCTGAAGCAGGTTCCAGGCTCTGAGCTGGCAGTCAGCACAGAGCCCGACGCAGGGCTCAAACCCACGAACTGTGAGATCATGACCTGAGCCAAAGTCCGACGCTCAACGGACTTGAGCCACCCAGTTGCCCCTTTTTTTTTTTTTTTTCTTTTTTTTTTTTTTTTTTTTTTTTTTTTTTTGCTTTTCCATGTTTTCTAAGTTTCCTGCATTAAGCCTAGTTTTTTATTAATTTTTTTTTAAGTTTTGTAATTTCAAACACTTAGGCTTTAAAACAACTTGTGAAAAATGACTTCAAACCTTCATTATCCTCTAGGTGCCTGTACTATTTCTACAGCCAGGAGATGTTGAGGAGGTGTTCCCAGCAGATGCCCTGAGGCTCTCTTGGCTGTGGCTGTGCACCCCTTTCCCACCAGTCAGAGGGGACTCACACACAGCCAGCAAGATGAGTCTCCCCACTGGCACTGGCCACGTGCTATACGGAACTCATGACGAAAGACTATGGGCCGTGAGAGACCCCTGAGTGGAGGTGCCTTTGTCCTGCCAGGAGCCACCATGTCCATATACTACAGACCAGGGTGACAGGGGGCAGGGGAGGATGACTGCCTGTTCTCCCGTGCAGAACCCAAACAGCAGGAATCGTGTTTTACACTGTCCCTACCAAGTGTGATACAGGAAGAGGTTACTGCAGGTTTCCTTTATGGTCAAGTCACAACTGTAGGTCTGACTAGAACACTAGCTCATGTCAGAGGTGGTTTCCTATGTGACTGACAGGCCAGGTATCATCTCTACCCAGAGGAGTACTCAAATCCGAGTACTCGGAGGAGTCTTCAAATCAGAGTTTGACAACACAGAGGAAAATCCAGAAGTCCTTAAAGCTGGGTTCACGTATCTTTCTCAAGTTCTCCCTAGAATTTAAACTTTAGGATCTAGATCCTGAATGAGATAGCCAGGAATCTCTACACAAAGAAATATCAAGGAAATTTCTTCTGCAAGAGTACATGTAGCACTGCCGGGGACAACACAGATCATCAGCTAATTTTCATCTGAAAGCATGCCCAGATGTTGCTACATTAGAGCGCAACACTTTCATGAGCTGCCAGGACATTACTCAGAAAAAGCCTTTAACAACATGCTGGTTTGCATTTTCTCCAATCCTAACCCAGGTTCATGTTTTCTAACCATAGAAGGGAAAGTAATAAAACTTTTGCCACGTACAGGCCAACAGGTTAACTTGGCACAGGACATATCTGAAAGCCAGATCTCTCAGAGTAACTTAATGTGAAGGTTGGGCTAACCACAGAACCCAGTTTATCTGGCACTGATTTAAATATGCACAATGGCAGAACACAAAGGTACAAGGAACTGCCAGCTATATCCTATGCACAGGTTTAAAAGAGCAGCCCCAGATCCTGAAGAGAAATAGGACAATTACAATATGTGTTTTGGCAAGAGAACTCACTTTTCAGGGAACAAAAAATGGGAAAAGGCAGCATTCTCACAAGTCAAGCAAATTAAACCTGCAATATCACCCAAACTTAAACTCTGAAGTCAAGCATGAGGAAACTGCTACTTTAGACACAGAGAAAAAAATCCCTACACTGCAGACAGTCAGGAAAAATGATACTCCAAATGTTTACAAGTTGAACACATATGGAAGAGCATAGTGATCTCAGTTTAGCTCAGTGATGTTTCTGAATGGAAAGAATCAAAAGGAAGAAGTGCATGAAATATTAAGGTTAAAATCAGAGATTATATATGAAATAAACTTCACTACCAAAGAATGCTAACCATTCTGCTAAAATCAGTTCTAACTGACAGTATACTGCCTATCTTAAAGTTATAGTTTAAACACAAACTGTTCACACAAACCTCCTTCAATCTACCACCAGATCAAATATTCCTCACCCTCCACAAATCCCTTCCTGGAAACTCACACAGCCTTAGCCTTGCCCTCAGACCCACCTTCCCAGAGCACTCAAGGCTTTGACTTTTCCCACCTGCCCCACCTGAAGTACCTAATGTGCTAACTTATCCAGAAGAAGTAATAACTTACAAAATTAAATATTTACTTGGCCGGGTGCCATTTAAATATAATTTTAGTGGAGACCACCTACTAAAAAGAGTAAAAAACCCCACTGTAGTATTTCCATCCCCAAGAAAAGCCCCACACAGATAAGCTGGCTAGTGACACCACACAGAAGCCAACAGCTCTGGGACAAGGAAGGTCAGCACTTGGGGGTAATCTCTGGAAGGGGCACAGAGAAGGCGGAGATGCAGTTTATCCGAAAAGAATTTACAATTTAGTAGTGAGACAAGATGAAGTACATGACCCCATCAGAGTACAGGACCAGCAATAAATAATGAAGAATGAAATATCTAACCAAACCTGTGAGAC